GCACTGCCCGTGCCCCCCCCCCACCGACCCAGAGGAGCCCAGGTATGCTCCCCATTCAGGGTCAGCTGTAGAGCCATCTGGATTGCGCCCGAGCTTCTCCTTTGCAGATCCCCATTTTACCCATGATGAGGCCTGGTGCTCTGGCCTTCCCCAAGGGTCTGCCCCCCCAGTACCTGCCCCCAAGAGGCCAATCCCAGTGGCCTCTCCCACCCATGAACTTGGACCCGGAGGTGCAGCCCCTCCCCAGGGAGGAGCAATAGCAGCAGCAGCAGCAGCACGTTTTTTGCAGAGGGCAGGAGCGCAGGGCCCCAGAGCCAGCACATTCTCTGAGTCCCAGCGCAGGCCCCGCCCGCCCCTCCCACCCAGCTCCGGCTCTCTGGCCCCCCTCCCCCAAATCTCCCCACCAGAGTGAGCAGCTGCTGTTTTGTCCCTTTTCTGGGGCTGGAGTGGAGTTCATCCCTCTCGCGGGACTTGAACCATAGTGACCATGGTCACAGAATCCCTGGAGCCCTGCGGTTGCCATGGAGATGGGAGCAGGTGATTAGATGGAACTTGCGCTTTCTCACCACCCTGAGAGGTACTTAACTATCTCGGATGCTCCTGAGGGCTTTCCAGAAAAAAGGCTCTCACAGGGAAGGATCTGTGGACAGATCCTCCACACCCCTCCCCGGCCCGCCCACCCCACACCAGGGTCCAGCAGCCAGCCCACCTTGGTCCCACCGTGACACGGGCACACGCCCACCCCTAGGTCCCTGAGCTCCTGCCCTGTCCCAAGTGCCCAGGGAGCACACGTGGTCCTCTCCAGTGGCGCCATGGCCCAGGAGCTCATTCTTCCCTTTGCAACCTCTCGTGGGCCAGGCCTGAGCTGAGTGCTCCGCTTCCCTTGCTCTAATGCTCACACCCTCGAGGGGCAAGTATCATCCCCATTTTATAGAAGTGAAAACCAAGGCTCAGAGGGGAGGTGTCCTTAGGCCTCTGCTTTGCCTTTGCCTTATGGCACAAGAAGCCCCTGAGGGCCGCAGTGGGCACCTTCTCCATCAGAGAGGCTCTGCCCAGACCCCACCCAACATACTATGGCCCTGGTGACCCCTTGGTCACAGCGACGTTAGGGACAAGCCACATGTTCTTGCTGTTGGTGTCACCTGGACCTTAGCAGATCCTGCTCAGCGAATGAAATGACCTTTGCAGGTTTCCGTGGCCGTGATTCTTGCAAGTGGTCCTGGATTCCCAGGTTCAGTGAGGGGAGGACTCTGGGTGGACGGGACGGAAAAGAAGAAAGCGGGAGGTGGGAGAGCGCTGGGTGAATTGGGGACCAGAGCCAACTTCCAGGAGGGGTCCAGCTGGCGGCGGTGGGCAGGGGACGGAAGGGTGGCGGAGGTGTCATCCTGACTGCTCCGGGGGCTTGATCCTGCCGTACCTGACCTCCAGCCTGGGGCAGCGGTGGGGGGGTCTGACTGAGGCAGACTTCAGACTATAAGGCAGTCCCCCAGATTTGACTTTGTTTTTTAAAACAGTGGTACATCTGAAACGGATGTAACATTGTGCATCGACTATACTTCAATAAGTAATTTTTAAAAAGCCCGGGGATCCCTGGGTGGCTCAGCGGTTTCGCGCCTGCCTTTGGCCCAGGGCGCCATCCTGGAGTCCCGGGATCGAGTCCTGCGTCGGGCTCCCTGCATGGAGCCTGCTTCTCCCTCTGCCTGTGTCTCTGCCTCTCTCTCTATATATATATCTATCATAAATAAATAGAAATAAATCTTTAAAAAAATTTAAAAAAATTAAAAGCCAACCCACCCTTTGCCTGCCACTTCACCCTGAGGTTGATGGGTGCCCTGCTCTTCTGTTTTCCAGAGGGCTTCCCTGCTCTCAGGCTGCTCAGGCCTGGGTTCCCATCTTGGCTCACTACCTCCCAGCTGAGTGGCTCTGGGGAGGTGACTTTCCCTCTCTGAGCCTCGGGCTTCTTGTCTGTAAAACAGGACTAAGTCCCCTCCCCTCTCCTCCCCGGAGTCAGTTGTGAATTGAAGGGTCGGCTCCACAGAGTGCTGGTCTCTGAGAGGTTAGGATAGAAGGAGTGTCTGAGATCTGAGGGGTAAAGAAAAAGCAAATAACATCAATTCTGCACAGACTCAGAAAAATAGAAGAGGCCAGCATCACCCTGATGCCCCAAGCAGACACAGACAAATCAAGGAAACAGCACAACCCTCCCTTGTGGATACAGGGCAGAAATCCTTAACAAAACCTTTATCCAGTCCAATCTAGCAATATTTAGAAAGGGTGCTGTGTCTTGAGCCCTGGAGTTTGTCTTCGGTTTGTGGGATTGGTTTACCGTGCAAAAACCAATTCTTACAATTCACCAATTCTTAGAATTCTCTTATAAAAAAAAAAAAGAGAGAGAGAGAGAGCAGTTATGTGCTTTGGTCACAGAAGTACATTCACTCTACCCGTGTGAGCATGTGCACACTCTCTCTGGTTCCATCACTGGGGCTCTGGAAGCTGCCCCCAGCCTCCCCTGCCTGCCCACACCACCCCATGGGCTCTCCAGGAGCAGTGGGGCGATGGTGGGTCCCCCTAACTCCTCTCCCCCTGCTCTGCTCCTGTGGACTCCCTCAGCGGGGTCCACCCAGGATGCCAGGGTGGCATCCCTGAGCAAAGACCTTCCACCAGGCTCCTATCAAGGGCACCCCTGAGTCACCCATGACCTCCCAGGGACCACTGTCACCCCTGACAGCATAGTACAAGAGGGCTCTGAGAGTGCCAGCATTGGCCTGAGCCTGGGTGTCTAGCACCCAGTGTCTCTGACACCCACAGGGTGTGCCTCCCAGACAAGACTTCTTCCCAGGGGCCTTTGCTCTTGACCAATTGTTAGAGACTCCGGATTCCACATCCCTCCCTAAGCTCCAGGGGGGTTGCTGAGAGTCCTCCATTCCAGAAGCCCCTCCTCATCCTAAAGACCCAGAGACCACTCCCCACTCCTTGCAGAAGCAGAGCCCCTGGGGACCTGTGTCTGTCCCTGCTGGGGATGTGGGCCTCAGGGGGCAGCAGCCCGTCTCCAGGCCACAGCTGGAGCAGGATCCCCTGTGAAGGACCAGTTTCCAGGGTGGGGCCGAGGTGGGGAGGGAAACACCCTCACCCCCTCTGCTCAGCATCTCATGAACTCACCACCTAGGAACATCTGTGGTACATGCCGCTTGTATTTTAAAGACTCCGGAAGCAGCCAATGTGCAATATTGGAAGTTGGGGGTTTTAATCGTAGCAGCCAGGCCGGTTCCGGGGCCCAGAGCCCCTTCAGGGAAAAGATGAGGTGAAGGTGGGGGGCCCAGAGCCACTGAGGATGGAGGGGAGGGGGGGCAGGCCGGGTGGGCAGGCCAAGGGCTATGGAGGTGGGGCTCTGGGTCCCGGGACCCCCCACACTGTCCATCCCCAGCGGCTGGGCCCCTCCACAGACTATCCCCGTGGGTCCCCGCGACCAGGCTGAGAGAGGAGGGTGGTTCCCCCCCAGAGGACCCTAGGTGTTAGGGGTCCAATTGTGGCCCCCTCAAAGACATGTCGACGTCCCCACACCCGGTACCTACGGCTGTGACCTTCTTTGGAAATAGGGTCTCTGCAGATGTGATTAAGATGTGGGTTAAAATAAGTCATCCTGGCAGAGGTGGGATGTGATGCAGCTGACCGCTGTCCTCACAGGCGGAGACGTGGGCAGGAGGACGTCCTGCCGCTATGGCAGGGCCAGGAAGGGCTCCCCTACCTCACAGGCAGGCGGCCTTGAGGACCCCTTGATTTGGGGCTTCTCCCTCTGAGTCTGTGAGAGACACATATGGCCGGGCTCGGGCTGCGGGGTGGGGGCACTTCGCTGCCGCAGCCCTGGGACCCCAACCTGGGGGCGGGCAGCCAGGTCGGGGCGGGGGCGGGGCCAGCGGCGGGCGGGGCTGGGGGCTGCCTCCTGCAACCCCAAGGTCCCCCTCCACACCCCCTCCCATCCCCCCCCACCCTGCCTCTAGTTCTCATCCTCTAGTTCTCATCCCCACAATGGGCGGGGCAGTGGCTCACATACCGGATGCCTGGGGTGCTGGGAGCTGTGGAGCTCCCACCCCAAGTGCTGGCTCGGGGGAACCCTGAGCCTCTGCCGCAGCCTGAGGGGTCTCCCCCCCTGCACTCTGGGCACCGCAGGCACAGGCCAGGCTCCCTCTCCTCTGTATCCCCTCCCCCCACCGATGCCCAGAACACACTTCCCTCCTTCCTGGCAGGCCCTCCATTCCCTCCATCCCCTCCATCTTCATCCCTTCCATCTCCTCCATCTCCATCCCCTCCATCTTCATCCCCTCCATCTCCTCCATCTCCATCCCCTCCATCTTCATCCCCTCCATCTCCTCCATCTCCATCCCCTCCATCCCCTCCATCTCCTCCATCTCCATCCCCTCCATCTCCTCCATCCCCTCCACCACCATGCTCACTCCCCCTCCCTGGGACCCTGTCCCCATGCCCCTGGCTGGGCTGAGCTTCCCAGGGGCCTCTCCTCATTGCTGTCCCCAGGCTTGCCTGCATTTTCCTAATGGCTATCCTCTGTGTCCCCTCCCCTGCCCAACCCCCAGAACACACTTCCCTCCTTCCTGGCAGGCCCTCCATTCCCTCCAGCTCTTCCATCTCCTCCATCCCCTTCATCTCCATCCCCTCCCACCAAGCCAGGGAGTCCTGAGACTGGAGAGAGAGAAGGTCTGGAGTCCCCAGGGTAGGTCCCTGATGGCGTCACCGTGGGGGCCTCCTGAACTGTTCCCAACGCAGGCCCTGGGCAGAGTGGTCAGTGCAGAGCCCCGGGGGACCAAGGGGATCCCAGAAAGTGACCTCAGGGAGAATGGCCGACCAGCCTGGAAAAGTCTAGGAGCCCCCTGCCCCCTGATCATCCTGGTCCTTCTGGGACTGAAGAAATCCCACCCTTTTATGTCACCAGAGACCCTCCTGCCTGGAACTGTGCACCACACGAGGAGAGAGCACGCAGGACAGGCTCTGCTGCACGTCATCTGTATTGTCACATGAAATGAGCATCCATAATGGGTACTTGGAAATGACCTATCAGGTCACATGGAGTCCGGCCCCTGGGGGCCAAAGTGGCACCGATGCCCATGGCCCTGGGCTCTCTGCAGACAGCATGACACCAGGCCTCCCCAGGAGCTGGGCGAGGCCCACCTGCACCTCAGGCCCTCCGGTTCCTGGGCAGCATCTCCCAAAACATGCTTGAGGAGACGGTGGATCTTTGGGGCTTAGTAGCGGTTCCTCAAGAAAAGGGGTCTGTGGTCAAATAAGTTGAGGAAACACAGAGTTCAACCAGGTTCGACCGGAAGCATTTCTACAGGACTTGCCAGAACCTTTATGACAACAACGGCGCGAATGTTCAGCATGGGGGCACAGTATGCAGCATTTCCCAAGCTTATTTGACCACAAAACCCTTTTCCTTCCCAAAGCGTCTTGCAGATTGGCATCTGGCAGTGTGCCCTCGGGGAAGTGCTGCCCTAAGCTATCGATGACCGTTAAAGGCAGTGGCACCTGTGTTGGGCGGCGGGCCGGGGTGTTTGCCAGGCGTCGTGCTGTGGCGGGACAGCCAAGCTCTCAGCAGTCATGACAGCGAAGGGAGAGGACGGGATGGGGCCCCGCTCCTGCCACTGTGGTCCTTGCCTCCTGCTCCGCGGCAGAAGCAAAGCACAACTGTCCGTCCCACGGGCCCCCTGGCCTGCCCGGAGTGGACATCGATCCAAGTGAAGGAGCGGGTGACACCCGGCCCTCCCGCCCCTCTGGCCCTCCAGGGGGCCTCCGACCAGGATGGGGAAGATGCGGCTGCCGGTTCGCGCGGCCATCCCCCGCGGGCCCTGCTGCTCCCACCACCTGTCCAGGGCCACCCCGTGTCCTGGGGCCATGGGCGGGTGGCTCACCAGGCGGAAATGAGCATCTGGCAGGTGTTGGACGACATCCAGACCAGCTCCACCAGGCGGAACTGGAAGTAGCCGATAATGAAGCCCGAGATGACGTCCGTGATGTGGTGACGGCCGATCATGACGCGCGACAGGCCCACGCAGAAGGCCCAGAGCACCAGCAGGACACGCAGGGGTACCGCCAGCACCAGGTGGCTGAGGAAGAACTTGGACACCATGGCCGCGCGGCTGGCGTGGCCGGCGGGGAAGGCGTACACGTCCATGGTGAGGTAGTCCAGGACGCTGGGGCTCGTCTCGAATGGGCCGCGCCTCTTGATGAGCTTCTGCACTCCGGCCACCGTCATGATGTCTAGGAGCAGGGCTGCAGGCGAGAGGGGGAGGCCCGAGGGACGGTCAGTGTCCCCTCACGCCTCGGCACCCCCACCCCGTTCCAGACGCACAGACTCCTGGGCACGTTTCCACCCCAGGGCCTTTGTGTGTGCTGTTCCCTCTTCCCTGGGATATCCACCTGGCTCACGCCCCCCAGGCCTGGGAGGAGCAGCCTGCCCTCCACCTGTTTACCGAAGCCTGCCACCTTCTACCCCTCCCTGACCTATTCTTTCTGACGGCATTTCTCAGCCCCGACACATCACACACTTTCTTAGCATTTCCCTTGTCTTTCTTCCCTGATGCCACAAGTGGTCTGAGAGGGTCCGGACCAAATTTGTTCACAGAGCTCAGGAAAGCTGCTGCGTGAGAGTGTGTCATCGCCACCGGCCCCTGGGAGGGCCTTGGCCCTGACCCACTGCGATTGTTCTGGCTGGCAATTGTTCTCGAAGGACCTCACTGAAGTCCCTGCAGTGTTGAGAGCGGCATCCGGCCATCCCTGTCTTTTTTTATTTTTTAATTTATTTTTTAAGTAGGCTCCATGCCTAGTGTGGGGCTTGAACTCATGACTCTGAGATCAAGACCTGAGCTGAGACCAAGAGTCGGATGCTTAACCAACTAAGCCGCCCGGACGTCCCTCCATCCCTGTTCCTTAAAAGTGAAATTCCTGTCACTTACCATGAACCATTTGTAAGTGTACAGTTCAGTGACACTCGTACATGCACAGGGCTGGGCAACCGTCATCTCTACCTGGCTCCAAACCATGCTGATCACCCCGAAAGGGAGTCTAGTGCCCAGGAAGCAACCGGTCCCTGTCCCCCTCTGCCCAGCCCCAGTTGCCACTCATCTGCTTCCCATCTCTATGGATTTATCGGCTCTGGACATCTCACACACGGGGACTCATCCCGTGGCCTTTCGTGTGTGGCTTTCACCCCGCGGCAGGGTGCAGAGGCCCATCCCCAGGGTGTCAGTGCTTCCTTCCCAGGCCTGAATGATCCGCCCCTGTTTGGACGTACCATCGTTTGTGCACCTGTCCATCTGCCCCCGGACGTCTGGGCTGCTGGCCTCCTGGCTGGTACAGATGTTTGTGAACCAGTATTTGTCCAGTGCCCGTTTCCAGTTATTTTTTTTAAGGATTTTATTTATTCATTCATGCGAGACTCAAAGAGGCAGAGACACAGGCAGAGGGAGAAGCAGACTCCTCGCAGAAAGCGCAATACGGGACTCGATCCTGGACCCTGGGATCACGCCCTGAGACGCTCCACCCTTGAGCCACCCAGGTGCCCCCCGTTTCTAGTTCTTGTGGGCATGCACCTACGGGTGGAGTCGCTGCATCATATGGTGACTCCATTTGTCACTTTTAGAGGGACCATCACTCTATTTTCCATGGCAGCTAAACCCCATTTTCCAGAAAAGGAGGAGACAAAGGCTTGGAGATGGGAGTGTTGATCCCTGTGGCTCCTCCTCCCTGGAGGGGGACTTAGTCTCCCTCCTCCTTCAGGCCTTGGCTGCCTCCTCAAGGAGGCCTTCCCTGACCAGCGCGTTCCCCGCACACCATGTCATTCACCCAGCTGCAGCTAAGGAACCCTCTGGCTGATAGGACACAGCATTGGCTCCCCCCACCTCCCCGCACCCCTCCACTGAGGGGGGCGCCGGGCTCTCTCGTTCACTGGTTTATGCCCAGGGCCAGGCATGCAGTGGTAGCAGTCTCTACATGTTAGTGGAGTCACTGGCCTGGGGCGAATGGCCAGGGGGGTGAGCTCTTCTCCCATCTGGGAGCATGAGGGAGACCTGGGTCTTCACCATCCTGCCTCCCCACCTGCCCACTCCATGCTGTGTAGCCTTGGGAGGGGTGCTCTGTCTCTCTGTGCTGTCAATGAAGCCACCATGCCAAGGATCCAGCTTCACTCAGCTGATCACAGCGGCAACCAGATAGCCAAGGTGATGGGGGTGGGGGGCAGGACCTCCGAGAAAACCCTCCCCACCCTTAGAGAGGCCCATGGTGGAAACCCTGATGAGATCACAGCACCCAAGCCCCGCTTCCGGTGACAGTGAAGAGGAAACCGGGCATCGTGGCATGGGGGCAAACCCCATGAGTGTCCAGAGACCTGGGTTTGAGTCTCAGCCCAGGAGCCTCCTGGCTGTGTGACCTTGGACAAGCCACTCACCTTTCCTCACCAGGACGAGGAGATCACAGACAACCACCTCCTGCAGGGGGTCGGTGGCAGGTGACCAGCCATCCGGGGTTTGCCCGCAACACAGGGGTTTCCCAGGACACAAGACATTCGGGGCTAACACAGGGAGGACCCAGCACGCCATGATGTCCCTGGCCCACCAGGAGGGTGGAGGAGGGGGGAGGATTGCCACTATTTGATAATTCACTGCAGCCTGACACTGGGAGCTTTCCTGGAAACGGCCGTGGATATCTAAATTGTTGGCCTGCAACTGCTCTCACTCAGACTCGGAGAAAAATCCACCCGACTTTTGAAAAAAAAAAATGAGGCGGTAGGTATTCACTGTAGAAAGTTTACAACTTAGAAAACAAAAAGTAAGATTTTTAAATCACCTATAACCCTGCCACCCAGAGGTTGCCACCATTCCGGGCCCTTATCCATCTATAGAGCAGAGATTTGATAACAACTCTAAGATGCTCTACATACTGTTCTGTAACCTGCTTTTCTTTAAAAAATTTTTTAAGATTGTATTTATTCATTGGAGACAGAGAGAGAGAGAGAGAGAGAGAGAGAGAGAGAATGAGGAGGAGGGGCAAAGGGAGAAGCAGATTCCCTGACAAGCAGGGAGCCCCACGTGAGGCTCGATCCTAGGACCTGGAGACCATGAGCTAAACCATGGCAGACGCTTAACCATCTGAGCCACCCAGGTGCCCCTGTAACCTGCTTTTTGAAAGTCTGGCCACGTCCCATGTCCCCCTGACTCCCACGGCTGTGGCAGATGAAGCCCCATGACATATTTATTTAAAGGTCCCAGCACTGGATGTTCAGATTGTTCCCAAATTAACACTGCGTTCCCTGGTTAGTATGGAATTTCTTGGCTTTCCTTCCCCGCCCTCCACAGGGTTGCTGCCTGCTGTCTTGGTTTGAGATCTGAATCCCTGGCCTCTCCTGGGCCTTCCCCTCTCATCAGCCACCCACTCTGGGACGTGCTTGGTCAGAAGCAGGAAGCAGTGGACGGAGAGGCTGCAGGCCTGAGGAAGGAAGAGCCTAAAGGAGGGAGGGAGCCTCATTCTACAGGCGCCCACCTCACATTTCCATTGAGACTCATTCCTGGGAGGTGGCCAGCTGGGGAGGTGTGTGACCAGCCAGCCCACTGACCCAGGTGGAGGCCAGGCCCGGGCCGGGAGCCAGCTGGAGCATGCGGGAGGTCACATCCCAGCAGGAGAGAGGGACCAGGGCCTAGAGGCCGCTGACCCCTGGAGTGGCTCTCAGCCTGATGTAGCAGCAGAGCCAGGAGGCCAGGCAGGAGGGGGCAGTTCTTGGGGTAGGCGTTCAACTCGTAGCTTCCAGGATCAGGATGGGGTCAATTAATCCCTACACTAATTAGGGATTCCCCCCTTTATGGGACCTTGACCTTGACCCACTGACTTGGAGCAGGGTTATCATAGGACATGGTGAGCTCAGTACCTGAGAGGCGTCCAGCACGGCCTGTGTGCGCTGGTCGATGGCATGGGCGCTGTTATTATCACTCAGTCCCAGCTGGCCTGACCCTGGAGGCATCAAGCAGGTGCATCAGTGAAGGGCTTTCCTTCTCTGAGGGCCCACCAGGGTCAAACTTACCTGGCACAGTTCAGAGACCTCCGTCATTCAAGGGAAGTCAGAGCGTCCAGGGCCAGGGCTATCCCTGGTGCTGGGGGCCGGTGGCCAGCCACAGTCTGGGTGTCAGGTGGGCTGTCAGGGTCTAGGGGGTTCATGTGGACCAAGATCAGGTACTGAGATAGAGCCAAACATGACACTAGCCACTGGAAGACACAGTTATCTGTCCAACTTGTGACCAAGTTTCTCAGCCAAAACCCAGGGCTCATCAGCTTGGCAAGTTGTCGCTGGTTTGAAACCTGCCTTCCCTGACAAGTGTAAGTCCTGGCACAAGTGTCCATGGAGGAAGGCAGGAAGGAGGGAGCAGCGCTGGCACCTCTAGGCTGCCCAGGGGGTGCCCTGGGCTCAGGGCCCCACTCAGATTTGGCGGCTAAAGGCAAGAGGGACCCCAATCTCTCCACAAGCCCCAGCTCTCCTCATGGGTGGTCAGGGTCCACAGGCCAAGAACTGAGCTAGGTGTTTGTTGCAGCAAAGTGTTTCCCCCAGTGAAAGCATACACAAAGGCTCAGTAGATGAAACAGATGACAGAGGTGGCCTCGTGGTGAGGCTGGAGGCCTCGGCTCTGGGACCCTCGCCTGCCCCCTATGGAGGCCTGGAGGTTGCCTGTGTCCCAAGATTTAAAAACCCTGCATCTGGGCCTTTGGGAACCTGCTGCTATTTCTGGGTGCTTTGGTCTCTTGAGGCCATAATGAGGTAGATACTACCCCTTTGCCCCATGCCCCTTGAGAGACTGTGGGGCCAGCCTGGCTGTCCCCGACCCCTGTCCCACTGTCCCAGCCCATCCTATGTCTTGTTCCTTCATTCATTTGACCTCCAGTTCTGGGATAGGTCAGGCGGGGCGGGGCCTGGGGCCGGGTAACCGGGCTGGCAGAATGCCACCTGGCCGAGGAGGAGGTGGGCGGTGAGCACTTCTAGAGTTGCCGTGCAGGTGCCCTGGGCCGGCAGTGCCCCTTCTCTGCACCGCAGCCGTCTGGTGTTGGGGCTGCACGCTGAGGAGGCAGGGCGGCTCCCCAGCCAGCCGACAGCCTTCCCGGGGCCTCTCCTCTCCTCCAGCTCCACCGCCAGCCCTCCCTGTGACCGTGATTCTGACACCGTCGGCTCATAATCTAGGGCCCAGAAATAGAAGCAAGTGGCACCATCACTCAGGCCTCTGTGAGTTCGCTCA